TCTCGTGGCCTAGAGGTTAAGGTGTTCGCCTCTCATTCAAATGTCCCGGGTTCGATTTCGGGTAGCGACCGAAATATTTTCTTCTCTAAAATTGCCTCCTTTCACCTCCTACCCTGCTCTTTTGCAATGTTCTGTCGTCTGCTTTCGTCTCCGCTTTCTGCCCCCACCCCGCCACCCGGGCAAAATTCAAAATTTCCTACTAACTGAAAATGTTCGGTGTGTCCCGCTCGCTCATATGACCTTATGCAGTTGCGAGCGCCGTAAAACACTCGCCTAAAAAAAAATAAAAAAAATTGAACTACGCCGTAATAACCTGTTTCTCTCAACCGCCATGTATTCAAACTCGGGTTGTTTCGCCAGTCTTTGTTGAGGCTCTCCGTGTTGAGGCTCTCCGCCTACTTGTCCCATGTTGTCGGCAGAGACTGATAGATAACACGACAATAATAGATAATAAGTCTGTACTATCGTACGTGTAAACCTTAAACGCGTCTTTGTGCAGTTCCTCAATTCATTATAGCTTTAAAAAAATACTATTCTTAGGACGTGTTGTTCCCCCAGTATTTGTTGGGGCTCTCCGCCTTCTTTCCCTGTGTTGTCGGATATGGCCGTTGCTTTTGTAAGTTCAACTTTGTAGGTAAAACTTTGTAAGTTCAACTTTGTAGGTAAAACTTTGTAAGTTCAACTTTGTAGGTAGAACTTTGTAAGTTCAGATTTGTGAGTCCAACTTTGTAAGTTCAGCTTTGTAGGTTAAACTTTGTAAGTTCAGATTTGTGAGTCCAACTTTGTAAGTTCAGCTTTGTAGGTCCTACTTTGGTATTATTTTACTTTCACTCCTGTCTCATGCTCAGATTATATTATTGTACCAGAGAGGGTTTACAGTAATTACTGTAAACTCTCTGATTGTACTTCTCTTTTCGTTTCATGTTTACCCGGATTTTGATGTTAAATCCGTCACAAATCTTTAGTTCTTAAGATTACCTGATATCTAATGTTCACTATCATTTGGACTGTAGTACATAAGGTTTAACTACATTTATATTTTGTTTTGCGCCCCCCCCCTCCCCACACTTATCTTGCCCCATAATTTAAATTTGTGAGGCAGCGTGGTGGAATCAGGCTCTCGTCAAAACAATCAAAGTGAAGAAACTTGCATTTTTCCGTAGGTTTGTGAATTTTTATCAATTTTTTGGTTTTTGGCTCAACACCTTTCATGCCCATTAAAGAACTCATTTCTGTGTGGATTTTCCTGAAAAACGTTGATTAAAGGCACAAAAATGTACATTTTCAGTTACCACGGACTCTTAAGCTAAGGAAATAACTAATCTTTGGCTTCCATTTCCTTACTAATTTTATCTCTGAAAACAAGTGACCCCCACCCCCTTCATTCGCAAATATCAAGATAAATGGGTAAAAAAAAATCCAAATAAAGACAAGTAAACACGCTTTACGATGACACCAATAACTGAACATGCCCAAAAATTGACGGGAGCCTGATTCCACCACGCTGCCTCACATTTGATGGTTAATATTTAGAGTTGACATTTTCTTGGAAACCATGTTTTTGCGACGGTTTCAGTGGTTAATTAATGTATATCTGGCAAAACAAAATTAGGTATGTCCGTGAAAAGTATTGATTTGTGCATGCTGAGAGACAGTGGGGAAATTAGCTACATTTGTTTATAGAACATTGCGGTATGGAGAGGGGGAG